TGCTCAAAAGCAGCGTTGGCCCTGCTGCTTTTTCTAAATAGCTACTACGGCTGCAGCCGTGSCCCGGGTTCTTCCCCGGGATCAAGATTCAATCGTTAAATCAAGAAATACATCAAGAAATAAATCAAGAAATAAATCAAGAAAACGTCTTTCCCCTGTATCCTCCTGCCTTCCCCCTTTCCCCGGATTAGGGTYAGGTACCTACCCAAAATTTCCCTATTGTGTGTGTCCAGTCCTTCGTTACCGTCCCCGCGCGACAAACCCCCCCGTTTTCCAACTGTATTTTGCACCTGCCCCGCTTTCTGCCCTGTATTCTGGCTTTCCCGACTAACGGTCTCTTTTTCCCTCCTCCCTACCTTCCTCTCTGAACTTTTCCTACGTGCCTTGCTACCCTTCTGTCTGTTGACTATCCCCTACTATCCCTTGCTATCCGACCCCCGTGATCCGTCTTCCGTTTTCTCGTTCCCGGTCCCCTTGTCTCCCGGGCGTGTCCCCCGGCCCCCTCGTTCCCCGTTCCCTCGGTAGCCCCCTCATTCCCTTGTTTTTTCAACCCACTCCCTGTTTTCTGCAATGTCCTGGTCCGAGTCGGAGCCGTGCCATGTTTTGCAGCCCTTCGAACAGGAGCCAGACCGACGTGTCCCCCGTAGCTTTGGCCAACTTGGCCAGAGCACCCAGAGAGACCTCCGGGGTGTATCCCCGGAGGTTTGCCTCGTGGACGGCATATGCTAGCGAGCTTATCACCAGGACTTTACACGTGGATGAGTCCCACAACCTCTTCAGAGTGGCAGATAAAGTAGCCTTCTTTGCTTTCTTCTCCGAGTAGGAGCTGAAGTCTTGCATCGACTGGTACTTGATCCTTTTGTCCTCTCTCAAACTATCGACATTCTTGGTTTCTGGTACGAACGCCAGGCACAGTGGCTGGTGGATAATGAAGAATTTCCCTCCCAAAAAACGCCACCAATCCCGTTGATTGTCCTTCCTTTCCAGCTGCAGATTACCGTCATAGCTCTGTTCAAATTTCTTGAAAATCTCCCCGGTTCTCCCCTGTGTCTGCTCATTGCTCATCGTCCCCACAATTACGGTTATATCATCAATAATGCGCGAGCCCCTCACCAGCCGGCTATCCGTTCCCAAACTCGTGATGAACTTCATCTCCGCTATCACGCATGTGATGGTGGCCAGAACTGGGCTAAGAGACTTGCCCATCGAAATTCCCGAGGTCTGTCTCTTGATCATCTCCCCGCATATCACGTACGCATGCTCTAGATCGTAGTCCACCATTTTGTAGATGGTCTCAAAGTCCATCCTAACATGGCCTTCTTCCTTCCGCTTCGTCCTAATGAGCGTGCATATCCTCCCTCTCCTAGAGACTTTTACCTGTTTCCAGTCCCGATCTGCATACCACCACACATTTGCCCTACCGATTCCCTCACCGTCTCGTGGGGAATCTTTGTAAACATATCCTTTATGTCGTAGCAGCGGCCTTCGACTTGTGTGCACCCCGCTGCTACGAACTTTCCCTCCGTCTCCCCCACCCTTGTCGCCAGATCTTGTGTCGAATTCAGATAGAAAGAGCTCTCCTTCGGGAGTCTCTTCACCAGACAGTGCAGCGCCCGCCCCGCTCTCTTTTGAGCAACGCCTGTTGGATCACTTGCCACTGGTGCAATCGGGCGCCAGCGTTCCAAGTCCTTGTCCTTCGGGATTATGTAAGCTCTCCCTATCCTGCCGTCAGCTCGCCACTCCCCCGTCTCTTTCAGCCCCCTGGACATGAAGTCGCGTTTACAGAGTCGCAGGATCTCCGTCTCCTCCATAGTACAACTTTCGTAGTCGACGTTCCATGTGAACGTCTTCCCAAAAGCGTGCCGGTATAATAGAGGGCATACGATTGTTGTATCGCCCTGATTCCGGTCGATAGGTGCTAGCACCAGTCCTTGGAATCGTAGAGCCCATTTCTTCACCCTCTTGTCCTCCCACGCTTCTAGTGTCACCGCCTTCTCAAGCTTAAAGCCGCCGTTTGGAGTAGTTATCTCCGTCCGGTCCCTTGGGAGGTGTAGTGCGGCTTCTTTGATGCAGCTCTTGATGTAGTTGTCATCACGAAATGCGCTGCTGCAGGTGACATTCCGTGAGTTTCGGAGAAACATAGGCACGTCCTCCAGATCCGAGAAACGTGTTAGTACATGTCCATTGGCCGCTCGAGGTAAGCTTACCCCCCTACACCCACATTTCTGCTTGAGGGTATTGGCGTACTCACGCTGGTTGTGGATGATCTCTCCCACGGTCTTGTTCCGCTTCCAGACGACCCGAATCTTCCTTTTTATCAAACTCGCGATTGCCGCGTCGTCGACCCTCCTATCCACCACCATTTCCGTTGCCGTTCTTATCTGCTGCTTCAACACCGTGCTGTCGTACTTCACCTTGACCGTAACCCGTTTCCTCACTCTAATCCCCGTCTTGATCCGAATCGCTTTATCAATGCTCAGTCTCAGATCGTTCTTCGTTTTCTTCTCTCCGAGTAGGCCCGCTGCCCTATAGAGACCGACCAACTGGTGTGTGGTGCACTGTGGCAAACTCGCCTTCATCCGCGGTTTCCGCAGCAGCCATCGTAACTCCTGAAGGTTTCTAGCTGTTGCCGTAGTGGTTCGTGCGATGCCCTGTAATGTAACTGTTGCCCCGCTCTCCAGGATTCTCCTCGTTGCCTCCAGTTTTAGCACCTGTCCTTTCCACCTCACTTTGGTTAGCCCGAAGTTCCGTTTTATCTTCCGCAATCCATCGATCCATAGTTGTCCCGCCCCGAACGTGAGTGTCCTCTCCTTCTTCTTGTTAATCTTCCATTCCCTCTCTAGCCACTCGAGTAGCGATGTCTCCGACCGTTCTACCCCCTTCTCTCCCGTCGTGAATGTCACTGCCCTCTGAATACTAGTCGCCGCACCCCTGGATTTCTTGCGCTCCCGTCGTCCCTTCCGTGGTTTCCTCTTTCTCCTTTCCCCTCTCCTCTTCGATGCATTACACGTGTTGAGGCTGGGACTGAAGTCATGAATGAGATGTCTCTCAAACGCCCTGTCATCCGCCTCACTTCCATGTCGAAGCGGGATCATCACAAAGGAGTCGATCCCGATTCTCC